AAACTCCTTCTTTGCCTCTTTCCATTGAATGTCTGACATCTCCAAGAATCCTATTAGGTAAGAGACATATAACCTCTCTCGAATGCACTAAGGTCAAAAGGTCAAATGGCGAGGGTTAATGGGTTATCTCTCTGGCCACCAAGGTCAGCGGAGGTCAGTTTTATAACCTGGGTTCATAAAGGTTAAAGGTTATGCAATATATTCGCAGTGATGTATAATGGGAACGGTTATTGCATCATTTGTTTTCCTTTGATCATCATGTCAAAAAAGGTATGGAAGAATGAGAGAGAGAGAGAGAGAGAGAGAGAGAGAGAGAGAGAGAGAGAGAGAGAGAGAGAGAGAGAGAGAGAGAGAGAGAGAGAGAGTGAAGATGGATAGTCGAGAAAGACAAAGTAAATAAGTATTAATACACAACAAGTAGATAGATACAGATCGATTGAAAAATCGGTAGACTTATTAGAATATAGAATTATTAGAACATAGAATACAAATAGAGATATCTGAATATATATAAAAAAACATTCTCAAAAAAATAAATGTAAATACAAAAACGACCACGTTCAGTATACCATCTAGAATGAAAATCTACTCCATACAAAAAAGGGCAAAAAAGAAAAAAAAAAAAAAATCACACACCCTACTCTCCGCCCAAGAAGTCTCCAAAGTTCACAAGGAAAAGATAAATTCCAAGAACCTACAAGGGATTGTTGGCAGGATGTGGTATCGAGGCGTCAGCATGGGGTTGGATCCCTGGCCAGCGACCTTTCTTTTATTTTTCTTTCGGACAAATTCCCACCTCGGGGGCAAGAAGCTGTTAAGGCGTTGAGACAGTGTGCGAGGAGCCGTTATTTCTTACACAGCACTTTATTCACCTGTTTATTTAGTTAGTTAGTTATCTTTATTATTCATGTATTTACTTATTTATTTTTTACTCTTTATCTATGCATCTGTTTGAGCTTATTTATTTGTTATTTTCTTCGGATGAATTCACTCCCACTTCAGGGAGGAATAGGATCGTAAATGTCGAAGTGTTATCTATTTTCTTATCTATAATATTATCTGTCTGTCTATCTATTCATCCAATGTTTAACAACTACTATGTGTGCATCAGCGTGTATTTTTTAAATCTATACAAGCATACACATTTAGTTAAAAAGCCCAAACACACACACACACACTCTCACACACAAACACACACAGACACACAGACACACACAGACACACACACACACACACACACACACACACACACATACACATACACATACACGCACACACACACACACACACACACACACACACACACACACACACACACACACACACACACACACACACACACACACACACACACACACACACACACACACACACACACACACACACACATTGAAAGACAGGTAGATAAATAGACGGAGAAAAAAGATATTGCGAAAGAGAAAGAGAAAGAGAGAGAGTGAGAAAAAAAACATATCTCGGAGGGATTGCGTGCAGAAGCAGCTCGACGTCTCGTCCTCAGGTTCCTCGCTACCATGTGTATATTGCAAAATGCAATCTAATCTGGGCAAATGCAACCGAGTAAATTGTATTCATATCACCTGCTCTTTCTCGCTCCAGGCAGTCAGGGTTGTGGGAATATGGGGTTGTAGGGTTGGGTGAGGGGGGGGGGGGGAGAAGAGGGGGAAAGGGGTGGGGGAGAATGGGAGGGGAAGGAGAGGGGTAGAGGGTAGGGGGAGAGTAGGCGAGGGTGGGGGAAAGGAAGAAGAGGGGTGGGGGGAGACTGGAAGGGGATGGAGAGGGGAAGGAGAGGGAGAGGAATAAGAGGGGTAGGGGAAGAATGGGAGGGAATAGGGGGAGAATGGGAGGGGTTGGGTGAGAAAGAAGGGGGGAGGGGGAGGGTGGGGTAGGTTGAAATGAAGGATCGAGAGAAGAGAGGGGGAGGGGGTTCAGGTGTGGTAAAGGGAGTGGGGGAAGTGTGGGAGAGGAGAGGATGGGGTGGTGGGTGGAGGGATGAGGGAGAGAGAGGGGTAGAGAGGAGGAGGAGAAGGAGGAGGTGGAGGGGGGGGGGTAAGCATAGGATAGAATGAAGGGGAATTTAATTAAGGCTTCAGTATAAGAGACAGAGGTTGGTTTTCGTTTAGCGGGATGGAAATGGGGTGAGGATAGGATATGAGTCAGAGATGCTGTATGATGTAAGCTACCTCGCCTTCAGATTTTTTATTTGTTTTATTCTTTTTTTTATTCTATTCGTGTCAGTGCTTGTGGATATATGTATTTGTGTGTTTTTTGTTCACGTGTGTATGGGTATGTGTATGCGTGGAAGTACTCGAATAGAAATATGTTCATTTACGCATGAGTTAACAAACCTGTTACTTACATAGAACATACTAACAAATCTTATTCACAAACAGTGTAAACAATCTCTATCCAAACAATTTTCATACATCTTTCACCTCATCTCATCTCACCTCATATCAACTCATTTCAAATCATCTCATCT